CTTGCATGATGAAAAAGGATTAGTTTTCTATGGTGGTTTATTGGTTAAGCTGGGAGATTTTGGTATTACGTGTAAATATGATCCAGGAAGAAGGCTAGCCTATGTTGGTACCGCATAAACTATAGCTTCGGATATTTTTGACGCAATTATAATGAAAAGGTTGATATATTTGTTTGGGATGACCGTAGTACATATGGAAAAGTTGTATATATATGTTGTGTGGCTCGTTAAGCAAAATTTATGAGTTATTAGCTTTATTGTTTTTGTGTGCCCAAAGTCTATTAGCTTAATTGGTCGAGCATTGTGTACTTGTATTGTGCACATGATGTAGGTTCGAATCCTACATAGGCTTACATGTAGTGATCTTTTTAAAATGTAGTCAAAATTAATATATTAACCTGACCTCTGTATAAATGTTAAATTGATATTGTTACCTTATTTTTATATATAGTGACCTCTGGATAAATGGTGTCAAATTGATATAATTACCCGAAGTATATATATAGTTACCTTATTTTCGTATATAATGACCTTAGTATCATGGAAATGTTGTAAATGTTGTCAAAATTGATGTAGTTACCTTATTTTTAAATATAATGACCTTTATGTAAATGGTGTCAAAAATCAGTCGATATAATTACCTTATTTTTGTATATAGTGACCTTAATGTAAATGTTGTAAAAATTGATATAGTTACCCTTTTTTTGTATATAGTGACCTCTGTTTTTAGTTTTCACCATAAGCCCTGTTTTCAACGGAACCTCCCCGTATATATATATATATATATATATATATATATATATATATATATATATATATAAATAATGTACTTTATTACTTGAAGAAAAATAAGTCAGCCATAAACTGCATAACATTAAAATCATTGGCAGATTTTGACAATTTTTCTTGGGGGTCAAATTACATTAATATTATTAATTGTACATATACCATCATACTTATATAACAAAGTATATTATTACCTTAATATTATTAATTATTATACAAATACCATAAAAATAAAATAATCATTGATATAATTTTATTTCAATAAGTAATTAACCTTTGACATTACTAATTACTTCCATAACTCATAACTTCAAAGGGTGGATAGATAAAGGTATTATTTGTTATGAGACTTATGACTAATAAATAAAAATCAAGTAATAGCTAAGTTCATTAGCTAAATACTAAAAAGTCTGGCACAACAAAAAAAAATTGAAGAGGATCTAATAATTAAAGGCATTGGAATTTTGGATAAAAATAATGCATAAATAGAATAACAAAAAGAGATAACTAAAAGGGTAATATTGTAATTTTGTGTAGTGCAAATAGCTAGTAGTAACGTGTGATTCATTTGCTTTGGGATTTGTGCAAGAAAGATAAAGTGAAAAAGTTATATACTGTAGTATAACATATACTCCTAGTAAGCTTGGACGTTTGGTACCAACTTCTTTTTGAGGGAGGCCAAGCTCTTGGCTGCCCCTTTAAAAGTCCGCCCCAGATTAAAATATAATGATAATCATATTTCAATCAATCTCCATAAAATTTTCAAGCACTAAAAAGAAAATTAAATATTTTAAATACGTTGTCTTTTTTTAAATTTAAGTAGTACCTTCCATCCCTTTGGGACTGTGAAACCGGCGTAAGAGATGTCAGTGGTGGCTTCACGAAAACCTCCTATAACAGGTGGTTTTAGTCTCATAGATTCACATACGACGTTCCATGTATACTTCATTTTCAGAGTATCCTTTATAGTCAAAAACTCTCCGTTTTCTTTTGATTGTGCAATGTCTAATTGTTCTGTGAAAATTAATCATAACACAGTACATGAAATACTTCTAGCCAACGAGTGTAATATTATGATAGGAAACCAAAGAACTATTATAGGCATTCTCAAATACTGTATAGATTACCATCAATTTTTATGCAACAATTAATGATACGGAGAACATAATTGTGAAATGAACTTAAGTTGTACTCCTTTGTTTCGTACTACGTAGTACTATTTTTGCATTAATTTGATTGACAAATAAACTTGTCGTACACAAAATTGACCATAATGCTACGGTGTATATGAAATAATATACACATTGAATCCCAATATAATTGACACAAGCAAACTTATTGGACATATGCCAATAATGCGCCAATTGAGTCGAGTGCATATAATACCGACTGAACTAAATGTGTAAATTTTTTGAACTAAATGTGAAAATTGACCATAATGTTGTACTAAATGTGTAAATTTTTTGAACTAAATGTGAAAAAATAAAATTTTTTTTGAGAAAAACCGACTGAACTTCATTAAGATAAGTCTAATTCCGCAAGGCTTATAATACCTTCCGGGAAAGGGGCAAAACATACATGTTCCGGGGATCCGGAGAAACATGATCTAGCAATTAAGTGTGCTACAGTATTACCTCCGCGTTTAACATGACTACATTTAAAGAAAGAGAAAAAAGAACTCAATGTGAAAAAATAAATTTGACTCAAAATCAATTTGCATAAAATTTGAACATAAATGATAAATATTTAGCCTAAAAATGTACTGTGCATATATAGGGTCAAATGAGAATGATTTTATGTGCATATTTTTTGTACTAAATGAGCATTTTTTTTTTTTTTTAACTAATTAACACTTTGTTTGGATAGGAAATAAGGAAAGGAAGGGGAGGGAAGGAAGAGGAAGGAAAGGGAAAAGAATGGGAGGGGGAGGTGAGCTCCATTTTCCCTCGAAATCTCTCCAACTTTAGAGGGATTATGCTTATTAAAGAGAGAGGAGAAATGGATCCCTCCCTCTCCTTTCCCTTCCTTCCCCCAATCCTTTAACTAAATAAGAGAGTTTCTCCCCCTCCTTTTCTCTTCCCTTCTTTTCCTTCTATTTCCTCCTATATCCAAACAAAGTGCAATTGTACCCAAAAAAAAAAAAAAAAAAAAAAAAAAAAAAAAAAAAAAAAAATCCTCAAATTTGAGGTTTTGAACATAAGTGCACATTTTATGTTTTCCGGAAAATTGAAATTTTCTTTATTAGCTCAAAAATCAAATTTGCACATATCGTGGAAAAAATATACAAATCTAATGAAAAACTTTAATTTTGCACAATTTTTTCCTTCTCATCCTTCTAATTTTAAGAAAGTTCGATCTATATATATATATATAAAAACCAACAGTATTTAACAATATATTTTATGATAAAATTTATTTTATTTTATTACTTTATTTAAAAGAAATACTCAAAGTTAATATATATATCATGTAGTGAAAAGAAAAAAAATGTCAAATTGTCAACTATTCTAGAATGGTGTACATATATAATTTTTGTTTACATTTGTAATAAATAAATCGATATAACCCAACAACTAAAAACATATATATTACATATTACATGATTTTTATGTATTGATTTGATCCCTATAATATTACATATTACGTGGTAATCTAATACTTCATCCGTTTTTATGCCTCCAAAAACATAATCTCTAAGATAAGCCGGGGCCAAAATATCTCACATTATACAAGCCTTGAACATGTTTATTCTCTTGCAGGTTATACTTCGCAACAATCAAAGTCCAACTATGCTCAAATTCTTCCGTCAGAGTCATTTAATAAAGATTGTAAAAATCAGCACACCATTTTTGATAATCCTCTCATAAAAGTGTTGCAAACCAACAACTGAATTTTGATGTGATATGCCATATACAATAACTATGTTTTGTAGTTGGCATTTCAATTTCAATTGCTTTACACATTCAAGGATCTTGATTAGTGATGATAGTCTTTGGGGCACTCTTCATTATACCAACAAAAGTCTATTTTACACTTGATAAAAAGATAATTGAAGTCAAATAAGTAATACACTTTGTCAATATAAGCTATAAGAGTGATTGTATCCGTTAAAATAGAGAGAATAATTAGGCTATGATTTACAGAATCATTGACTAACATATATTCCAAAAAAGGTGGGCAGAAAAATATTTACCATCACTTGTTTCCAAATTTTGTAATTATGAATATTTGACTACTATACCGTTTCCACTTAAAATGACAGCCAACTCAAAATTTATTGTCCCGCAACTCAACTATTCAAACATTGTACAAAACTTAATTTCTTATTTCAGGTTTGAAGACATTGGCGGATGCAAGCATTTTTTTTTTTTTGTTTTTTTTTTGGTTGGGAATAAGTAATCTAATAGTATATGATCATCAATAATCACTATAAAATTTGATTATTTGATCTAATTCAAATTGTTACTATTGAGTATCTATTAATTTGATAAATTGGATTGTTTAACCTATTTAATGGTTGTAATATGTACATTTTTGGTTCCTTTTACGTATTTCGTTTCGAGCATTTTTTATTTTACGCATTCTTTTATAAAAAAAACTGTACATAATATTCCAACTATACGTATTCCTACTTTTTCTTAAAAAAAAAATGCTATTATTAATTTTATGTTTATCAAGTTATTTATCCCATACCTTCCCTCAGGTAATCATAAAAGTAATACTTAGTTACTTACCAAGTACTTCATTTATTAATTAAAAAATAAAATTATCTTCACTATAAATACTCTTTCTTAATCATTATGAATAATACCCAATGTAAATAATAAAAATAACTGAGGGAGTAATATTTATTACAGAGCATTTCTATTTTTTATTTTTTTAAACAATGCATTATTAATGATTTGTATGTTGTCGGTGTACAATAATGACCCGTCACCACCCACAAAATTCTGAATCCGCCACTATTTGAAGACTTTGAACCGTTCATGGCATGACTGAGATGTCTATCTTCATCATAATTTTGCAGTACGTTAATTTGTTTTATACTACTTCTTCTGTTCCAAAATATGTTTATTTTATTTTTCGTCATAATTTTACAGTACGTAATTTGTTTTATACTACTCCTCTGTCCTATAATATGTATAATTTATATAGTACGGCCTTTTCTTTTGCTCTAGTTCATTATTTTGCTTATCTAGTTATCTTGTGTTGAAGATGCTTGGTCGCAAGCCCACACATATGAATTAAAAAATTTCATAAACGTATGTTAATGTAAATAAGAAAGGAAATATTTTCTTTTGTTTAACTATTTAAGAAAGGAAATTTCATCAATTCCAAGAAGGCTTAACGCTTAAGGTAACTTATATGTATAAGCAGTCACATGCATACCATACCGATTGCTTCGTAATCCAAGAAACGAGCATAGAATCGTATTCAAATCATCTTGTGATCTTATACTTAGGCCTAACTATAAGAGCAGTTCACATTAAACATGCTCAATTAACATAGTTATTGCCTTAAAGTTGAGCCAGAGTAATAAAATCTTCTGGTCTAAAAAAAAAAAAAAAAAGTTAGACCTTGTTCTTTTTCAGACGGTAGTGATGGTTCTTATGCCCCGGGAGTGTTCTTCTTGGTTCTTACGCACATAGCTGTGATAGATTGTAGCTGTCTTAGGTTCAAGCTTAATTGTATAATAGTTGATGATGCAGGAGTATTTATACATAGGAGATAAATTGTTGCCATAGAGTATGCAAGTTATGCAAACATTCTGAATCCCTCACAAATTTTAATATAGGATAAGCTCTTAGCTTACATAAATATATATTGTATTAGATGTCCTTATTCGCTCTTTGTTGCTGCCTCATAGATCAACTCGAAAGCATTCTTGATGCATGAATTCAACCTCTGTGAGTCTATGAAGCCCTTTTCAGCTCCAACTCCAATCCTCAAAGTTTGGGTGTAACTCATAACTGTTATTACCAGGCTCTGCAAGTCCATAGAATAATAGAACCATTAGTGGTAGAAAAAAGTTGTCAAATTATGTAGAAAATAAGTTCTAGTGGTTGGTTACTTATATTGATTTTGGAAACAGACTTTTACACTTTCTTTGGATATCAATATAGAAGTGAAAAAAGGGGAGGGAGAAAGTGGGGTTCATTTTCCTTCCAAAGCTCTCCAATTTTGGAGGGATAATGTACTAATAATGTTTATTGGGGGGAGGGGAGGTGGGGGATCTTTTATCCAAACATGGAAATTGTTCCCATCCCTTTCTTTATCCTCATTTCCTTGTATCCAAACAAAGTGTACGTTAATAAATGAAGAGTCAAGATATTTAAAGGGGAAGATCAGATAACGATATGAATTTGATAGAGAAAAATTTAGAGGTGATCATGGAACGGGTTGGACTTCAACAAAATGTTTGCCTGTTTTATGAAGTATTGTGTCTGGCACAAATATAAGGCTGTAAGTAACAAAATTAGTTCCGCATCTTGGTCAAAAGTTGCAAAATTGGGTTGGGTCAAAAATATTGCCTGAAGCTTAGCTGAGTGGGTTGATCCAGTTTTTGATCAGCTTCTAGCTATTAATCTAAAACTTGGGATCTATTTTTTTTTGTAAGAAATTACTTGTGTTACAAATTATTTGATTTGAATACTTGAGGTTTAAGAAGAGAAATTTTGGGTGTATATATGACTACATATTTTACTTTGCTTACCTGAGGACTGCCAGTAACCATGAAGTACATGCCTTTTATCGGATGACCAGCTAATGTTACTTGCTCAACTGGACCAATCATGTTTGTCATTGACATGCTTGATTTACTCAATGTACTATGGATGTATTTCGCCACTGCCTGAAAGAAGTTTCAAATAAATTGAGGTTAAAATACACCATTCTCAGTAGACAATATGACAGATGATATGTGACTAAAGTTGTGTAGTCACTTAGGAAACCTGCAAGAATTTTTCACTAATACTTGTACACACCTTAAACGAAGATGTAAATGAAGTATGAACGGAAAAACTTAGAAGGCTGTAAATTGTATTTTCTTAATGTGTACCTCAGATCCTTTGTACTTCCTTATAATCTCCAAGCACTGAGCAGTGAGATAGATTGCTGGTGAATTTCTGTACCTACTGATCTGTTTTCGTGTTTTATAGATGAAATCAAGGGGGTTGGAGCATTTAGTGTTGTTTGATCTAGGAAGTGCTATATGCAAAAATGAAAACTTGTTTCCCCATATTTTTGTATGTGCATTAGTCATTTCTTCAACGGACATGTAGTCTCTCGTAATCCTAGTGTTGAGCATCATCATTGCTGTAGACCGTGAATTGGAGAATTTTGTTTGAGTTTCTTGCATGTAGAGTCGAGTCCCCAGGAAAATTAAGCCTGAAATAGTGTCATTTACTGTCTGAAGGGGGGAAAAATATATGCAGTGTTGTCAGTAACCCTATCATTTTATAACATCAGGAATTCAGGATAATTTAAGAGTAGTATTGTATATTCCGGCTTATTGAATTTTAGGGAAATGATGCATGAGATCATAGATTTTTGCTCTAACATGGAGCTTCTGTTTCTAAAAATATTAACTTGAAAGTGATCATATAGATAATCTCAAAAATGCCTAACTAGAATTCCGATTCAGACATGAATTATATACGAAGTATTACATTAGGGCAATGTATATTACAATGCTAAAACATGGCATTGGAGAAAAAGCAGTTCATATATGTATACAATAGACAAAAAGACAGATTGAAAGAGATAACATACCGCACCTAGTTTTTTTTTGATTAGTTTGATTTGGTTGAGGGAAAATGCAACAGTAGAGACTTTGAGTGGAATGGAACCCGGACTTTTGCTTTCGCACCTGATTGGTGTCTGATCATCTGCAATGCAAGTGCTTTTCAGAAAACTGTATCCAAAATCAGAAGCTCCTTTGAAGATTGCAGATAAAGCTCTTGGCACCTTTGTCATACAACCCTTGCTATTAGTGTTCTTAACTTCTGACCTTGCTCGAGTTGAAGGAAACGTTAACGGAAGGGAAGGATTATCTGCTCTTTTTACGCAGGAAAGAAGTGCTCCCATCAGAGAGTAGCCGTCACCAAGTGCATGGTGAAGCTTGAAGATTATGTGCCCTGCAGCTTTGCTTGTTGGGCAGTTGATTATGTGAAGTTCCCATATAGGCTTATCTTGTGGCAGTGGTTCCACACTGATTTTTGTTAGATATTCGTCAAAATAATCGTCGTAAGATTCACTTGATAAGCCCTCCGGGAATCTAGGAACGTAAACGTGATCTTGAAGGTTCACTTCCACTTTTTTCCACTGTCTTACACCCTTCTTGTCATCTATCTGCTAGAAGAAAATTACTAGTCAGTGATAATATAATAGCTGTGTGTTAGTGGCTGATAGAAATAGAAGAAGATAATTACCATAATAGATGAAAACCTGGGATTAATGGGAAGAAATACGTCTCGAAGTTGTGGCAATGCACAAGATTCATCTATGGGAATATCAGATTCTAAGATGGCTAGAATACAAGAGTTTAAGGATTTGCTGTTTAAGTATTGTCCTGTAGGAGATACAGGTTCAGCTGCATCATTTTCTTGTTTGCATTTTGTTTCTATTTTCAATTTTGACTTCATTTTTTTTTTCCTATATGCAATGTAGCAATAGTGAAGGATACATATAGTGTTGATGTTGCAGTAATTTGTTGCCAGATAGGGGCCTAATACCAACTAAAATTATACTATTATTTCTCAGTGACTGTAGCAGCCAAACAGGAACAGGAACAACTTAGTTGATGGAATTAATAACGTTTGGTAGATGGTAATAAACTGTGGTCATTGGCGGACTTGGCCTTGTGCCTGGTGGGTCAAATGACTCACCAAGGCCCAAATTTTTTTTTAAGTTTTTTAAAAAAAAAAATACTAACTTTGAACCAAAAATGTAGTTGGGTTTTTGATGAAATGTGAACCTAATGCTTGTACAAATTTTAATCTTGTCAATTATTAGTTTGTTAATTATTAGAGAGCTAAGCTTGTCATGTTGTCAATTATTAGCTTGTTAATTATTAGTTAGTTAATTTTAGTCTTGTCAATTTTAAGCTTGTTAATTATTAGTTAGTATTGTAATCTTGTCAATTTTCTATTTGGATGATTTTTGTAAATAATTTTTCTTGGGAATTTTGGTAAAAAAAATTTTTTACATATTTGGTTATCGATTGTGACTCACCAGTCGGAAATTCCTGGGTCCGCCACTGATTGTGGTAATTGTAAATTTGTAATAACCCTGAATGTAATTATGTAACGAAGGTAACATATAGTCATTGTTCATCATTATACAACTATATCCCCGAGTATCCTTATGTTCGTGTTTTCTTTGTAAACTTATTTCCATTACCGCTAGAGTAGTACTTCTTCTATGCTGGTAAGGTTCGGACCTTCACATAATGTGATTAGATCGTTGAGAGTAGGACACCGAACCATTGCTATGGACATTGCCATAGAAGTATAGAACCCGCCTTGCAAAAACACCAACCACATCAGTATCAGGATTCCCGAGGACAGTAAAGTGTTAGAAAAGTCACAAGATACTAATACAAGTGCTATAAATGGGTTTGGTGGGAAGTCAACGATTTGTCAGAAAATGCTGACATTAATGTCCATGATTTTTGACCAATTGTACGCAATTTTTTCCTCTAAAAGGTTATTTACGTAATCAAATGACACCCTCAAAAAGTAACAATCTCTTTACTACTGTCACTGTTTCCTGGAATGCTAAACATTGTGTGCATTAGTATTCTTCTTCACCTGGGTTCTGGTAAAATTGTACAAGTTATTTAATGTTGAAATAATTATTAATCAGATGCACCACACATTTTATGTTTTAGTGGTGATGAGTCACTGCATGTCTATGTTGGTAAGGACAGATCAATATAAATTACTCAGCTGTGTAACAGCTTTACGATAAGGGGAAAAAATGTGATTTTTCCTCGCGTCTTTTACAATGTGGGACGACTCATATGTGGGTTGTTTGTGGGATCTCATCAGTAAGGTGAATGATTGGTCGAGTACTTGGGAGACTAGCTATGAAGGGTAGTAATTTCTGTAACAATTATTGACTAGCTACAGTGTGGGACGACTCAAATGTGAGTTGTTCACGGGATCTCATCAGTAAGGTGAAAAACTGAAAATGATTGGTCAAGTACTTGGGAGACTAGCTACGAAGGTTAGTAATTTCTGCAACAGTTATAGACTTGTAGTCTTACAGGCAAAGGACGTTTCTTTTTCTGAGTTGTATTGATCAAGGATGCTGTATGGTAGGTGATAGATGAATTTGGAAGTAAATGTTACGCAGATGAATCACTATTTCGGGTATAAAATCATAAACTTAGTTTTGTTTTCTATTTTGTTTACTAAATAAGTGAAGGAATAGCTAAAAAAAGTTCCAACTACATCAAATGGCAATAAACATAATGATTAAATTTTGAAATTTCAGCCTTTGAACATTCAATTTTGTATAGTTTTTTTTTTTTTGAATAGCTTCAATTTTGTATAGATGAAATTGTTCTTTTTTACAATTCCAACATTGTGAAGATGCCTAAAAGTACGAGTAAGACAATGACCGGAATAATTATCCCACTCTATACAAGATTGACATCCAATTACAAAACTCCCTAATACCAAGTTACCAACTGACCTTCACCCTTCCGAATCTGTCATGACACAAACCTAGCTTGAAGATGCTGTCTCAAATGAATCTATCGATTTCCATCAGTAAAAGGCAACTGGGAATGAAATAATACAAAATCAAGGAGCCTGTGAATGTTTCCTAAAAAATCAATGAAATTAGACGCTGTAAAACCTATCAAGAATTGCCTGCATACTCTATACTATAATTTACATCAGCTAAATGCTGATCATTAAGTTCATTAGCTACTGTATCCATATTTATGTCAAATGAACCATTTCTGGGATGCGAGGGATTGTTCCCTTTGAAACCCCAACCATCTAAATTCCGAAGCCATGGCGGCCTTGGCTTCTGGTTGTTCCACTTCTTCTGTCGATTATGCCTCTTCCCTGGGAAATTTCGCAATCCCTTTTCATGACGTAATGCATTCTGATTCGTGGCAACAGAATTTTGTGCATTCAGCAAGCTTGCCCCAGATGTACTCGGTATGCCTTGATCCCTTTGATCACCAGCATGGGAATGGTAGCCTTCCCTTGCTTCTTCCTGGACACCCATCAGACTCCTATCACATGGATAAGGCGGAAGTGGTGGAAAGGGTTGAAAAGGCATGGCAGGAGCAATTGCCCAACTATCAACAGTTCCACAATGAAGAGTTCCGGATTGTTGTATGATGGACAAGGGAATGCCATATGCTACAGGCAAACGTGGATTGAATCTCTCCTGGAGAAGGCCCGATGGAACTGGACACTGTAGAGAAGAAGAAAATCCGGGGGGACTATCATCAACAGGATCGCGTGGATAAGAAAACCCAGGAGGAGCGTCATCATCAGAGTTCTGCATCACGTCATCTGTTCCCTTGTTACTATGCTTGGGTAAATTCTGAGCACCAGAGCACCCACTATCCTCCTTTGCCTCGATAACTAGGGTTTGCCCCCCTTCACTAATTTCAACTTTAGGGCTTGTTTTAATATTCTTGGGTGACCTAGCAGGCTGATCCCATCTGCTTTTACGCTTCCGAGGTCTGCTAACAACAGTCTGGTTATCAGTTAACTGAGAACAAGAGGCCTCTTGCGTTCTAGCATCAGCAGGATTGTTCGTTATTCCTGATTGATCAGAACAACTTATGCGTTCTGTTTCCATTGCTCCTTGCCCTCTCCAATGATGGCATGTTCCATAATATCTATTAGAGTTTGAAACCCTACGAAACTCTCTCCTTCGATCCACTCGATTAAATTTTCGAGGAATCCACCTATCCCGAAAGTTCCGCGCAATTTGATGGACCTGGTGAAGAAGCAAATTAGGGATTAAATTTTCAAAAAATAAATCAAATCCATCAACACAGTTTTTGCACTTAATGACCATCTTTTTTTGGATGGTAGAAGCTGGAAAGTGTTCGGTTAAGTTGGCATACCATATTAGATATGCAGAGGCATGTACAAATAAATGAGTACAGTAGAAGACCAAAACAAGAACACTGTCACTACACAGATTGGATCTTTTAGGAAATTTGGTTCTGCCAGACTACCACTATGATTGTTAATATTTAGTTCCACAGGAAAGACATCATAGGACAGGAAACAATTCGTGTAACAGAATGGAAATACAACGCATGTAACAGAATGGAAATATAACTGAAGGTCATAGAAGTGTCAATGCATATGGTACTGCAAAACATTTGGTCAAGTTCCAACAAACATATTATTTGCCAATATTTAGAACACAAAAGCCCTTTTTGTATAGCGCCTCATAGTGGCTAAAGATTCAGCCATATTTTACTAATTTCAGAAATATTCAGATCAAATTTGAACACCTTATTTCAGGTGAAAAACAGAAAATAGCCTGTATCACAACATAAAAATTTTAGGCTTCTTTTTTAGTTTAAGATTAGCCAAGACCAAAATGAATGTAGCACAACATATAAAGGGACTATATCAAATTAAACGTATATCACATCTATAATTCATACAAGAAAACAGGAACATTACCTGGATATCCTTGTGATTTGTGAAATATAATATGGATTCCCTCAAACTGCAGCAGATAATTAAAGTTGTAATCAGCAAATTAAATAAGACACAAATGAACACTTACATAGGTTTCTCGATAATTTCATGTACAAAATAACCAAAACCAGATATATGAGGTTCCACTTCATACTTTTTCCTTGAGAAACAGATATCAGCATTTAATCAATTGGGAAACTAGAAAGTATTCGAAACCAGCAAATTCTAAATCTGGACTTCATACGTCCTCTTTACAGCCTATATAGACTACAGTACATCCTACAAATAGAGGCCAAAAAGAGCAGACCAATCCCAGGAAAAAAAAAATAATGTGAACTTATTGAAGCTATCAGTAATTCAGTACGCTTAATCAGAGAGCTTCCAGCAGACTTCTTTCACTTCCGAAGTTTCTAAACCCTTCATTAACTGCCAGAAAAGAACTTGAAAAACAAGATAGTTAAATTATTTTCTCTAACCTCTCAACTCCAGGATTTACAGGATCTTCATTAATGCGATCCACAGTCAAAATCTCCTTCTTAGCCAGAAATTCCAAAGCCTGCAAGAACACATCCCACATTGTTCAACAGATGCATCATCCACACACATTTAGACATAACTAAGAAGCATACATATCACCAGGAGCTATAAGCAAGTAGACAACAGAATAGAATTTGCTGCTTGGTAAGGGTTACAGGTACATGGAAGCAGCCTTAATTAACCAGTAATGTCCTACCCCAAACATAATTCAAGATATGCATCATCCATTTGCATTTAGACATAACTAAGAAGCATGCAATCTCAATTAAAACCTTTATAAAATAAAATAAATAAACAGATAGAAGCCGCAGGAGGGGATAATCTCCAAGAGTACATAGAAGCAGCCTTATCCATAACCAGCTAAGCTCTTAATTATTCAACAATGCTCAAGGATATGAACAAATTACTTTAACTCCATTAACCTCAGATGACAAAAACCCACAAAATGAGAGCAGTTTAAGACTAGAAGTTTCAGATGTGCACTTTAGCTTAAGTTAAGGAAAACAACAATTTTAGGATACAACGGGCATAGCACATGCAGGATTGGGTGATTTCTCATTTGATACTTTTACCTGAATTAACCCATTGTCAACACATATTACGTTCCCCATACATATATGCTAATATGCTCATTAGTTTCTAACAAATCTATACTTTGATCCAGCTGTGAC